AAATAGATTTTAAGATGTCATCAATTGTAAGGTAAAGGTTTCTCCTTGACATTAAGTCTAGACGTGTCTTCTTCTGGGGAGTGGTGCTCGTCTCCATTTCTAAGCGTTGTCCATAGACACCTCCAAGGTCATGTGGCCAGCATGACTGCATGGAGCGCCGTTATCTTCCTGTCGGAGCGGTACCTATTGATCTACTCACATTTGTATGTTTTTTTGAGCTGCTAGATTGGCAAAAGCTGGGGCTAACATTGGGAGCTCATTCTGCTCTCAGATTCGAACCGCCGACCTTTCAGTCAGCAAGTGCAGCAGTTCAGTGGTATAACCTGCTGTGCCAATGGGGGTTGTAAGCATGTTGTAAGACACACACTAATCTCAGTACCACCAACAAAAAAGAGCTTTATTTATACGTATAAAAAAGCACTCATGATTCTAAGACACACCCTATTTCAGAGTTGTTTATGTGTAGAAAAGCATGTCTTAGAATCAAAGAAATAAAGTAATGGAATATCAAATTGATCCAAAGCAGGAACATTCAAAGTTAGCTCTAGAAAAGCCTTTACAACCCAGTCATAGCAGAATACTGAAGATTGGAATTGTAGTCTGATATGTGTCTGAAGGCACCAATGTTGGAAGAGGATGCTGAAGAAGCCCCTGGTTCAACTCCCATTCACTAATGGGCATCAGGAAGCACTCTTCATCAGACCATGAGTCCAGCTCCGTATCTTCTTCAGACCTACAACTCTCCAGCCAGTGAGTCAGACAGAAATCTTTCTCAGTCCATTCTGGAGCCCTGGATCCAATTCAGGCCACGTTTCTACGCTAAACATCCACTATATATCACTCTGATGTGGCCCTTTCTCAGCCTCCAATCCCATTCTCATCTATGGCAATCATATCTTGCAAGGGAGTTTGAAGGATGACTGAAAACCCATTATTTTGCTGAATTTGAAAGGTGACCAAAATGATCAGTGGTTTGGAGGCGAAGCTTAGGGAGCTTGGCATGTTTAGCTTAGAGAAAAGAAAACACGAAGTTCAACAGGGACAAATACAAGATACTCCACTTAGGCAGAAAAAATGAAATGCAAAGATACAGAATGGGCGACACCTGGTGCAATAGCTGTACGTGTCAAAAAGACCTTGGAGTCCTCATGGACGACAAGTGAAACATGAGCCAATAATGTTATGCAGTGGCAAAAAAGCCAATGGGATTTTGGCCTGCATAAATAGGAGTCTAGTGTCTAGGTCCTGGGAAGTCATGCAGACCACACCTGGAATACTGTGTCCAATTCTGGGCACCGCAATTGAAGGGAGATTTTGACAAGCTGGAATTTGTCCAGGGGAGGGCGACTAAAATGATCAAGAGTCTGGAAAAAAAGCCCTATGAGGAACAGCTCAAAGAGCTGGGCATGTTAGTGTGAAGAACAGAAGGCTGAGAGGAGACATGATGAGGGCCATGTATAAATATGTGAAGAGAAGTCATAGGGAGGAGGGAGCAGGCTTGTTTTCTGCTGCCCTGGAGACAATGGCTTCAAACTACAGGAGAGGAAATTCCACCTGAATATGAGGAAGAACTTCCTGACTGTGAGAGCTGTTCGGCAGTGGAACTTCCTGAAGGGAAGGAGGCTTCTTGGCTACAGGTTGGACTGGATGGCCCTTGAGGTCTCTTCCAACTCAATGAATCTATTATTCTAAGAGGGGACAGGATAGCAGTGTTTACATATTTGAAAGGGTGTTCCATTGAGGAGGGGTAAGCCTATTTTCTCCTGCTGTGGAGTCTAGGGCACAATGCAGCAACGGTTTCCACTTTCAGGAAAAGAGATTCCATGTAAACCTTAGGGAAAACTTCCTGATAGTGTGAGCTGTTTGGCAGTGGGACAGGCTGTCTTGAAGTCTGGTGGAGTCTCCATCTTTGGAGGTTTTTAAGCAGGACTTGGATGGCCATCTGTCAGGGGTGCTTTGATTGTGTATGGCAGATTGGGGTTAGGTTGTTGTAGGTTTTTCGGGCTGTATAGCCATGTCCTAGAAGCATTCCCTCCAGATGTTTCAGGAGGACCTCACAACCTCTGAGGATGCCTGCCATAGATTATTATTATTATTATTATTATTATTATTAACTTTATTTATACCCTGCTAAAATCTCCCGAAGGACTCGATGCGGCTTACAAAGGCCAAGGCCACCAACAAAACAACAGTATACGAATACAACAGTAAAACTCATAAGGCAAATAATAAGACATCAAGTGAAACAATAAAACACTAAAAACAATGACACCATGACGCATTTAAAACCTAAGGCCGGGCCAAATGTAATGGACAAAATTTAAAAAGTGCTGGACTTGACAGGTGAAATGTAGAGGTTTTTGGAGGTAGGTGCAATGTGCAGACAATCCTAAATATCTAACAAAGTGCATATGGGACATGATGCTAGGAGTTTCCTATTCTGGAAAGGCACACTGGAACAGCCAGGTCTTCAGGCTCTTCCTAAAGACTGCCAACGTTGGGGCTTGTCTGATGTCCTTGGGGAGAGAGTTCCAGAGTCAGGAGGCCACCACAGAGAAGGCCCTGTCCCTCGTCCCCACCAAACGCGCTTGCGACGCAAGTGGGATTGTGAGCAGGGCCTCTCCAGATAATCGAAGGGATCGTGTGGGTTCATATATGGAGATGTGGTCACGCAGGTAGGTGGGTCCCAAACCGTTTAGGGCTTTGTAGGTGAGCACCTGCACCTTGAATTGGGACCGGAAGATGAACGGCAGCCAATGGAGCTCCTCTCTCTGTAAGGATCACCAGTTAACAACCTGGCCACCGACCGTTGGACCAGTTGGAATTTCCGAACCGTTTTCAAGGGAAGGTGAAACGTCAGGAGAGAATGCTTCTAGAACACGGCCATACAGCCTGAAAAACCCACACAACCCAGTAATTACAGCCATGAAAGCCTTCCACAATAGAATGGGGCATAGGCCTAGGGATCTCTTCAATTTGATGACTCCAAAGCAGGTGCAAGCTTGTCACATTGGGACCTATGCAAAGGCACACACAAGACTCCACAAAGCCAAGCATCCCAGGGCCCCCATGTGAAGGAAACGAGCAAAAGGTTTGAGACGTCTAATCCTTCTCCCCAATTCTGGACCCTAACCTGAGAACTAGGACAATGGGTGCAGGTACAGCATAGAATTAATGCAATTTGAGAGGGTGGCTCAATGCTAGGGAATCCTGAGAGTTGTAGTTTTAGGAGGTCTTTTGCCTTCTCTGCCAAAGAGCGTGTCATAGAATCATAGAGTTGGGAGATACCTCATGGGCCATCCAGTCCAACTCCCTGCCAAGAAGCAGGAAAATTGCATTCAAATCACCCCTGACAGATGGCCATCCAGCCTCTGTTTAAAAGCCTCCAAAGAAGGAGCCTCCACCACACTTCGGGGCAGAGAGTTCCACTGCTGAACGGCTCTTACAGTTAGGAAGTTCTTCCTAATGTTCAGGTGGAATCTCCTTTCCTGTAGTTTGAAGCCATTGCTCCACGTCCTGGTCTCCAGGGTAGCAGAAAACAAGCTTGCTCCCTCCTCCCTGTGACTTCTTCTCACATATTTATACATGGCCTTCACCATGTCTCCTCTCACCCTTCTCTTCTTCAGGCTAAACGTGCCCAGCTCTTTCAGCTACTACACATAAGGCTTGTTCTCCAGACACTTGATCATTTTAGTCGCCCTCCTCTGGACACATTCCAGCTGGTCAACATGTCCCTTCAATTGTGGTGCCCAGATTTGGACACAGTATTCCAGGTGTGGTCTAACCAAGGCAGAATGGAGGGGTAGGATGACTTCCCTGGATCTAGACACTATCCTCCTATTGATGCAGGCCAAAATCCCATTGGCTCCGCATGACATTGTTGGCTCATGTTTAACTTGTTGTCCACCAGGACCCCCAGATCTTTTTCACACGTACTGCTCTCGAGCCACGCGTCGCCCATTCTGTATCTTTGCATTCAATTTTGGTGCGTCGGTGTCTCCCTCTCCAAGCGACAAACTCCACGACTCCATACCCCAGAGCCATGGCGGTTCAAGTGGTGTCAAGCTGGCTTCCTTCTTCTCCCCCAATCCCTCACAATGTGCAGCTCTGGAAAGACTGGAAAGGGGAAGGGGAGGGGGGGCTGTTGCTTTAAGAGCCAAGCGGCCGCTGTTTGGAGGGAGAGGATCTTGTCACAATGCCTTGCGAGGCACGATAGCAACCATGATTCATAGGGGAGCGGGGAAGCGGTTGTCAGCAGAGCCCCGTCGCCTCGGAAACAGAAGAGGGTCGCCCTGGCTGCGAAGGGATGAATGGAGCGCGCGCGGCGGAGGTGGCGGGCGGCGGCGGCGAAAACACGCGGGTCACGGGCGGAAGGGGCGCGCGCGGGGAGGGGGTGGCAGCGGGAGCGGGGGCAAAGGCCCGTACGGACACGCCACGAGGGGGTTGTGTGTGTGTATGTATACACACACACAAACACACAAAAAAACAGAGAAAAACACGCGTGGCAAAAAGGCGTGCTGACGACGCGCGGCAGTGCCACGCTCTCCCTATCTCTCTCTTACACGCAGCACATGGCCCCACGCGCTCCCGCCCAAGAAGACAACAAAGAGGGCAAGGGAGCCTTCCCCACTTCCCCCAAAAGAACACCCCACGCGCGCACACAGACACGCGCGACAGCAGCTCTATAGGCGTACACATAAGATCCGAACAGACAAGCGTTTACACCACAGCGGTGGTAGGGTGTGTGTGTGTGTGTTGGGGTGGGGGTGGGTGCTTTCCTGCCTGCTAAAAACACGAGGGGGTTGCCATAGACTCGCGTGGAGTGCGACAATCGACGCTTTCTCCGCCGCTGCCCCCAGGAGGACAACCTGTAGGAGTTGGCGCAAGAAAGAGGGCTCGCTCCGATGGGTCAAAGGCGCCCCACTCCGAAGCCCTCCCCACCCACGGACTCGCCCCCTCCAGGGCGGGGATGCCCTCCCCACGCACCCCGTCCAACCCACCTTTACCTGCCCGAGTCATGAGCGGCGGCGACGGCGGCGGCTGGGCTCCGAGTGCGAAAGAGGCGCCTGCTCCTTCCCCGCGCGGTTCTCGCAGGTGCTGTGTGGCAGGCAGGGAGCATGCGTGGGGAGAGACAGGCGTCCGCCTTGGAGGGAGGGGGGGAGGAGGAGGAGAGGAGCCAGGCTCCCAGCAACGGAGGAGAGAGGGAGGGAGGGAGGGAAGGAGGTTGGGCTCTTCCGAGGCGGGGGCTCGGGAGGGACCTGCCCACGGGTGGCGCGAGGGGCTGCCCTCCCCCTCCAGAAGCCCCCTTTGGTTCTCTCTCTGGCGGAACAGAAGCAGAGGGGAACCTGGCCACTGAGCTGCCTTCCCTCTCTCTCTCCCCTTGTTCCAAAAGAAAACCCCGAAGGCACCTCCCGGAGACTCCTTTCCTTCTCCCCCTCCGAGGGAAGTCGGCTAACTCCACTCTCAAAGAGAAAGGCGTCACGTCGCGGCCACATCTCAGGCCCCAGGCCACATGCTGGAGCTAAGACGCTTGCAGGAAGGGAAGAGGGAGAGAGAGCTCTTTGAGCCCAGAGGCTGAGGATCTCACCCTAGAATCACAGTCGGGAGAGATCCCAAGGGCCATCCAGCCCAACCCCATTCTGCCACACAAGAACACCCAATCAAAGGGCTCCTCACAGATGGCCATCTAGTTTCCACTTAAAAGCCTCCAGAGAAGGAGACTTCCCCACACTCCCAGGCAGCATATCCCACTGCGCTTTTTTCCGCATCAGGAGCGACTTGAGAAACTGCAAGTTGTTTCTAGTGTGTGAGAATTGGCCGTCTGCAAGGACGTTGCCTAGGGAGGCTTCTCTCATGTGCCCACATGGGAAGCTGGAACTGATAGACAGGAGCTCACTCTGCTATCCTGGATTCAAACCACCGATCTTTCAGTCAGCAGTCCTGCTGGCACAAGGATTTCGCCCATTGTGCCACTGGGGGATTCCACTGTTGAACAGCTTTTATGGTAAATAAGTTCTTCCTAGTGGGAAGGTGGAATCTCAGTCTTGCAGTTATAGACTTGGAAGAGACCACAAAGGACATCCAGTTCAACTCCATTCTGCCACCAGGAATAACAACAACAACAACAACAACAATCATGTATCCTGCCACCATCTCCCCAAAGGGATTCAGAACAGACAGAGTTTTGGAGCACAATACTCCTGACCTCCTGTTTAAAAACAAAGTATGGATTGTTGATGTTACAATCCTAGGTGACAGCAGGATTGAGAAGAAACAACTGGAAAAGCTGACATGATATGAGGATTTAAAGATCGAACTGCAAAGACTGTGGCACAAGCCAGTCAAGGTGGTCCCAGGTGGTCCCAGTGGTGACCTTTTTATTAAGACAAGTTTTTAAAGATGAAGGTTCTTGAGATCTATTCAGAGGGTGCTGTGGTTTTTAACTTTGAATTTGTTTTAATGATTTTTAACTGGGAATTTAAAAATGTTCATATATTTGTATATTTTAAATGGCTACGCAAATGCTTTTATGTTAAGTTGCTTTGAGTTCCCTTCATAGGAGATAAAGTGGGGTATAAATAAATACAATAATAATCACATTGTTGACTCATGTTCAGCTTGTGGTCTACAAGGACTCCTTGATCTGTTCCTAAATCTGCTTCCAAGCAAAGGACCATCCACCAGGGGACACCTGGGACTTGCTTTCAAGGAGATATACAGGATTGCACTAAAAAGACCTGGAAGGATTTAGCTTCAATCCACATTTCCTGTCTTCCTCAACTATTACATCTTTTTCCTCTTTAGTTGCTATCAGCGCCTGATTCCATTGTACCACTTTACATTTGTCTACTCTGGGGAGCCAGTGGCTTCGTTGTTTAAATATGGGATTAGGACTTTGTGAGACCAGGGATTAAATTCCCACTCAGCTAGGAAAACTCACTGGATAACCTCGGTCAAGTGGAATTCTCTCAGTCTAAGAGAAAGGTGAGGGCAAAGCTCTTTTGAATACATCTCACCAAGGGAATCCCATGATACCTCTGCTTTAGAATTCCAATAAATCAGAGATGACTTGAAGTTACAACAAACCTTGGAGAGCATTTACAATATTAATGCCCGTTGCCCCACATTGGAAGGATTATTCCTGTGGTTTTCACTGCCCCTTTCTATGACACCGCTGGGACAGGCTTCATCCTAGGGCATTTTTACAAGATTTAGTTACGGGCTAGATGCTAGGCTTCTCTATACATTTCCCAAAATATAAGTCCTCAATATTGAAGATGAAAAGGAAACATGTCTTGAAAGTAAAATGTCTGGGAGACAGAAAATTATTAAGAGTGCAGCTAGTTCTGGTGGTGGAGCCAGTATAATGTAAAGAGAAAAAGGAAAACAAATGTAGTGTAAACGAATGACACAACAAAAGGTGTGAGTAAGAAAGGGTTACTATCATCTGATGACTGATGCAAGCTGATGCAGTCACCTGATTGTAATCAGCCAGAAACAGTACATAGTGACGTTTTCCAGCAACTGGTCCTATGGGGACTTCATCTAAGGATACATCTACTGTAGAGTTAATGCAGTTTAAAACCACGTTAACTGCCATGGTTCAAGTCTTGGACAAGGTTCAGGAGTAAGTGGTGGCTTCTCAGCTCCAAGGATTCTTGGATGAAACTGATTATCTGGATCCATCGTAGTCTGGTTTCACGCCTGGTCACAGTACAGAGACAGCTTTCGTTGCCTTGGTGGATGACCTCCGCAGAGAGCTTGACAGGAGGACTGTGTCCTTGTTGGTTCTCTGGGACATCTCTTCAGCTTTCAATACCATCGACCATCTGGGGTGACTCCAGAATGGTTCTTGGAGGCACTGTTCTGCAGTGGTTCTGCTCCTTCCTGGAGGGTCGCATCCACTTGGTGAAGCTGGGGAACACCTGCTTGGACCCCTGGCCTTTAACCCTTGAGGTCCCACAAGGCTCCATTCTATCCCCTATGCTTTTTAACATCTACATGAAACCGCTGGGCGAGGTCTCTGGAATTTTGGAGTTCGGTGCCATCTCTATGCAGATGACACTCAACTCTACTACTCTTTTCCACCAAATTCCAAGGAAGCTCCCTGGATCCTGGACCAGTGCTTGGCCACTGTGAATGGACTGGATGAGGGCTTACAAACTGAAGCTTAATCCTGACAAGACAGAGGTCCTCCTGGTCAGTCATGCAGCCAATCTGGGCATAGGATGGCAAACTTTGCTCGATGGGATTACACTCCCCCTGATGAGACAGGTTCGCAGTCTGGGGGTCGTCCTGGACTCAGTACTGACACTTGATGCTCAAGTGTCAGTGGTGGCTGGGAGGGCCTTTGCACAGTGAAAGCTTGTGTGCCAACTGTGACCATACATTGAGAAGTCTGACTTGGCCATCATGGTCCATGCCTAAGTTACCTCCAAACCGGATTACTGCAATATGCTCTACATGGGGCTGCCTTTGAAGATAGCCCAGAAATTGCAATTGGTACAAAGGTCAGTGGCCAATTTGCTAACTGAAGTGAATTACAGGGAGTGGACAACACCTCTGTTAAAACAGCTCCACTGGCTGCCGATAAGCTTCTGGTCCCAATTCAAGGTGCAAGTTATTACCTACAAAACCCAAAATGGTTTGGGTTGAGCCTATCTTCACAATCACATCTTTCCCTAAGAACCTGAATGAGCTTTAAGATCTACTGGGGAGGCCCTTCTCTCACTCCCACCTCCATCGCAAGTGCGGTTGGTGGGGACAAGGGAGAGGGCCTTCTCAGTGATGGCCCCCTAGCTCTGGAACTCTCTCCCCAGGAAGATTAGATTAGCACTCACCCTATCCACTTTCCGTAAAGACCTTAAAATGTGGATGTTCCAATGTGCCGTTGATTAATCAGTTCACTAAATGAATTGGCCCTTCCTAACTTATCATTTGGACCTTGCGCTTTTCTGTCAGCCCTGTCTTTGCAGCTGTATTGCACAAGTCCTTGCCTTGCCCTTTAGTTTCTGAAATGGCCACTATGCTCAGTTACTGGTTGTTGTATGATGATTTATGTTTTTATGCTGTTTTGTATATGTATTTGTATTGTGTTATATTCTAACTCTGTTTGACTGGGGTTGGTCCCCATGTAAGCCACTCTGAGTCCCTTTGGGGAGATGGTGGTGGGATACAAAATAAAGGTATTATTATTATTATTATTATTATTATTATTATTATTATTGATTTGCTTACTGGATAAGACTGATCTTTGCAACCTTGGGACACAGGTGACTAAAATGGCAAATTTCAAGAAATCCGGCTAGACACAGACTGTCAGCTATAAGTCAAAATATAGGAGTGGAGGAATGCCACCCATGTCCTTTTCTTCAGAAGAGTCCTGCCATTGCCTTCTCTAAGGTGAAGAGACTATGATTTGTATATGGTCCACCAGGAGGTTTCTTTGGCTGAACAGGTATTTGGACCTTGGTCTCCCAGATTCAGATTCAGATTCAGGGCTTCTTAAACCTTTTCCACTTATTTCTACCCAAGAAATTTTATTTGTGACCCTTTTTTGCCTAATAATGTTTTATATGACCCTGTCTATATAAGTATATAAAATAGGTATAAACACTTATAAACACAAAGTCTCTGTCTTTGTTTGTGTTTGTGTGCCTTATTGTATATTATTGTAAAAGGCATTGAACATTTGCCTATGTATGTAAATGCTGTAATCTGCTCTTGCGTCCCCTAGGGGAGAAGGGCGGGATATAAATAAAGTGTATTATTATTAATAAATTGTATTAAGAGGGGAAGCTGCCAAGAGAATGTGTACACAGGGATATTAGTGAAATGAGCAATTGTAATGTGGACAGGCAGATTCAAACTGGGCTGTTTACTACTTCATTTGTCAAGGGGAAACTATGCAGCCTGCCACACTCTGGGAACAAGCCTGCCGATGCATGGAATGACAAGGGCTAAAGACCTATGGGGGAAGAAGCACTCATCCCCTTTCCTCTCTCTGCCATGGCTGGAAATCTGCAACAGAGCATCCAGAGAGAGATCTGAGGGGACTGTTGCTTCCTTCAGAATCTCCCAGCATGGACTTAGCTCTCATATCTATAATTTACTCTACTCTCTCTACCATGGTCACCACTGCCTTTTTTGAGCAGGCATTAGAAATAGCCAGAACCAGTGTTACAGCCAGTGGAGGCATGAC